ACTGTATTTTTTAAAATTAATTTTTTAAAAAAGATTTATTTGGGAACGTGGGTGGGGGTCATTCCACAGTAATTGATCACCGTGGGGAAACTAAAATTCGGAAATGGATAAGAGCTATTGTAGAGGGAGACAGAGTCGTAGTGCTACCTCAGAAATAGAAAGTTTTATCAGCTCAGTATCTAAAGTAAAGTAAACTTGTTCCCGCATCCGATCCGGACATTGGCGATTGCTTTGTTAGTGAGACAATTTCTTGGGCTTTCAGCATATTGTGGTAGGGTGGCCAGTTCCTTTCCACGCCGCTTTACTTCCCCAATTCGAAGTCAGGTACCCATTACTGCTGGGTGGGCAGGAGGGGGCGAAAAAAATCCGTGTCCGAACCTACCAAGGCTCGAACCCGGACTTTCCACTTCGGAGACGAGCCCACTAACCACTCCCCCCACGCACAGTACATGTACCTACTTTTAAAAAAAATTGACGTCAAAGATTTTGAGTTTCACATGTCTTTTCGAATGCAATTTTCTGAATATCTTGTTAACGACTCAGAATAAACTTACGGTTTTGATACAGCATAATATAGAACATTTGGTTTCTGATCTCACGGTCTTAGTAACTCAAAACAGCCAAGAATGCCAGATAGAACTTTGTAATCATGAGGTAGTGAACTGTCTTGTGGTAGTCTTGAGGTAGTGAACTGTTTTGTGGTAGTCTTGAGGTAGTGAACTGTCTTGTGGTAGTCTTGATGTGAACTGTCTTGTGGTAGTCTTGAGGTGAACTGTCTTGTGGTAGTCTTGAGGTGAACTGTCTTGTGGTAGTCTTGAGGTAGTGGACTGTCTTGTGGTAGTCCTGAGGTAGTGAACTGTCTTGTGGTAGTCCTGGGGTAGTGAACTGTCTTGTGGTAGTCTTGAGGTAGTGAACTGTCTTGTGGTAGTCCTGAGGTAGCGATAGATAGTGAGACGCTATGGGCGGTCCCAACAGGAACCTGTTTATACATGTCCAGCTGAGCTAAGAATGAGCGACCAGCTATGATCGCCGATGTCTGTTTCAGATTTTATCCACGGAGAAAGGAGAAGGAGGAAAAGGAGAAGGAGGAAAAGGAGAAAGGAACGGAAAAGGAGAAGGAAAATGAGAATAGAAAAATAGTAGAAGTGGAGAAGTGGTGACAGAGAAAAGGAGAAACACAAAAGGAGAAGGAGAAGGAGAGAAGGAGAAGGAGAGAAGGAGAAGGAGAGAAGGAGAAAAGGAGATAATGAAAAGGAGAAGGAGACGGAGACAAAGGAGAAAAGGAGACTGAGAAACAGACTCGGAGAAGAAGGAGAAACAATAATCATTCCCTCTGCTATATTTACACGTCTATAACAATGCTCTCACCCAGGGCATGAGCAGCTACATGTTCTACTGGCTGGGCTGTGAGGTGGAGATCCGGGGAGTCCGCCCAGAGTTCTGCCAGCCCTACACCGGGGTACCCACCATGCCTGACTTCCGGTCTGCTCTGACCACCAGTTTTAACCTGCTGACCAACGGGACCACCAATCTCACCGGTACTTTAATTTGGTCGATTATAGACACTATAGGTTTTTGGAGTTTGGTTGTTGTTGGGGTTTTTGTTTTTTGTTTGTTTTTTTGTTTGTTTTTTTATGGTGTTTTTTTGGTAAGAGTTTTATGGCACTTGCAGCACATAAGGTCAAATATTGTTGTTATCAATCCAGAGAAGGTCATATGACAGCCGAAGATTAGAGGTGTTACAAAGAGAGTGAGAAACACAAAAAGAAGGAGGAGCGATAAGGATGATAGATGTTTGATAGGAAAGAAGGAGTGAATCACACTAGAGTACCCGCCAACCGCCCGCTGATGATTGTACATTATTATTATACGTTTAAGGACTGAAAAGAAGTCCTGAAAATAATTCTCTTTCTTCCAAGCTGCATGAGGTTGGATTGCTTAAAGAAAATCAGGCAGAGACTCAACATTAAAAAGAATTACTTTAGACATTTCGGACAAAGAGCCTTATTCAATTCGCAAGCACACACGCACAGACGGACACACGGACGCACGCACACACGCATGATCGCGTGTACTCTCTCCCATTCTCTCTCTCTCTCTCTCTCTCTCTCTCTCTCTCTCTCTCTCT